CAAGATTTTGTATACCTATAATTTGTTTTTTGTTAAATGTTTGAGTGATTTCTTCTTTAATTACAATCAAATTGTCTATCGTACCTCGGTTTTTTCTAAATCCGTTCTGATGAGGGGAAAAAAGCAGTTTTTTTCTAATAGCCAGTTAAGTCTGTGGTTTAAAATTTTTTCAAGCAGCTTACACAGTGTGTTGAGTAAGGTGATCGACCTGTATCCTTTTGTGCGGAATTTGATTTCTAATTTTCGATATTTCAAATTCTAGGAATTCAGTAAAAAGGGGCCAGTCGGGGTTCTTTAGATTCCATCTTTCAGCTACACATGAAGTGTCATTGTGACGAGGTATGATCTGTATAAAAATGGGGAAATGGTCACTTCTAGTGAGATTGGGCAAAACATTCCATTCCGTGCGTTGAGCTAGACTTGCTTTGGCAAATGAAAGATCAATATAAGAGAGTTCGCCGTTTATAGGATTAACGCGCGTTAGTTCAAGGTTGTTGAGTAGTACAAGCTGATCATTTTCTAACATTTTTTCAATTTCTTTACATCTGTTGTCAGTTTTTTTAGAGCCCCACTCAATGCTGTGATTATTAAAATCACCTGTAATTATGAAGGGTTTAGAGATTTGATGTAATATATTTTCAATTTCATTTTTGTTGAAATTGTGCTGATTGGGAAGGTAAATATTACAAATGTTAAGTTCAATATCCTTCAGCTTGACAGACGCTGCTACAACTTCCAAGTGCGTGGTTATGTTAATTGGTTTACTAGGATAATCTGATTTTATGTATATAGCTACGCCCCCGAAGACAATTTGTTCTATTAAAGATGAATTCTTTGTAATTTTTTAATGTGCCAGTGTTGAGGGTGTTGAAGTTTGTTTCTTACAAACATATTATTTCTGGGGCGTTTTCTGAGATTAATAATTTCAGTTCATTGAGTTTTCTGTAAAATCCATTAATGTGCCACTGAAGAATTTTTAGGTTTTTTGTTTTCATTAGTTATTGAGGTTATGTTTTGAAGGGAAGCTGCTTTGTGGTTGACTATTGTAGTGGAAGAGTTTGGAATAAAAGGTTTAGCAGTTTGGAGAGCTTAGTTCTTACGTATCTATCAGTTATCATTGGTTTAACTTGTTCAGTTATTTTTCGGAGTATGTGGCTGTCAACATTGACTTCCTCGCACAGAGAATGTATATTTATGGATTTATTAGAGCAATTCTCCATTATGTATATGTATCGTGAATACGATATAGGGATTTCTTTATTATTTGAAAAAAGACCTTCGGCGGGTTTGAGCCGTTCATTGAGTTTAGTGTGAAGATTTTCAAGTGAACTGCATTTTTTAATTTTTTTTGATGGGTCGAATGACTTGCTTTTGGTTTTTTTGGAATCTAATAGTTTATCTCTTAAGGTTTTCGGCTGATCAGAGTTCTCATTAATTTGTTGATCGATATGGAGTGGCGTGACTGATGGTGCTGAAGAGTTAGTTGGCGATGGAGGAGGTATTTTGATTGGTTCATTTGGAATACTTGTTTCATTGTTAGGGTTGATTGGTTTTGTAATGTTGGTATTTGGGGTCCTGGGTGTCATTAACTATCTCACAGATTAGATTTGTCTCTTGAGTGCTGTTGAGGTTGGTACTGTTGACCTGGGTGTCATTTACTTTCTCGCAGGTTGGTATTATCATTTGAGTGCAGCTTAAGATATTAGGTAATACACTATAACCCCCACGTGTTGGGGTTAGTGTACAACTGGAGCTATTATAGTTATTGTTTTTATTTTTTTTTACAGAAAGAGGATGTATGTCCGGTTTGGTGACATACATAACATGTCAGTGTATCATCTGTTAAAAAGATTCTGAAGTCTGTGTTGTCGTATTTAATGACCATTGAACCGGGTACATTAGCAGTATCATCCGGGTGTATATATACCTGACGACGAAAGCTACTAATATGTGCCAGCTCATCGTGAAAACCTGCTTTAAGAAATGTTATCTGGGATATGGTTTCGATACCTTCTAATAATAGTTGTTCGTTTATTATTTCATGAGGAATTATCGGATGTGCATTAGAGATGATAAATCTTTTTGCTGGATTGACCAACCGGTTTATTTTTTGGAAAAATAGTGTTGGCTGTGGTTTCTGCGAATGATTTTGGTAGGTTGTTGGTTTTTAATTGAGATGTAGATTGGGTTTGTTTGTGGGTATCCATATACCTATGATAAAGTAGCCGAAGCCATATTATCAGTTGTTTGCGCTGCGGTGCGCCAGCAGCGGCTTAATTAACTAACTAGTGATGGCCGATAAGATAAAGAATTAAATACCTGCCCGAAGAATGTTGATGTATAATAAATAAATACTGCTATCGATAGCTAATAAATACGTAACACACGTGTGCGCTGGACGGAGGTAGAACACGTACTGATTTCACAGTATATAATATACTTAATAACTAATAGCACTTACAATTATTATACCTCCGATTTCATACCTTTGTTTGGTGGTACTAAAAATTGTGTACACACAACACAAATGTATCTCCATAAACTAACTCTCAGCTACAACAGACCTTTGGTTTAGCAATTAACTTATAATTCATTATATTTTTGAAGGGTCGTGTCACTCGGATTCTATATTGTATCCGCTGTTTTTCCCGTACGGCGAGGCCGGTTGGCATAACGGGATATTGCAAGAGGGCCCTCGACGAAATAATGTCCGCAGTCAAAACTCTATAAGAGAGTTTGCGTGCTACCGTTTGGCCATTCGATATGAGGGAAATAACGACACGAGGCAACCAACTCTTCAGTGCGATACATCAGGGCCGGTCGTTGTTGCACGTGTTTGTGTGCGACCACTACTTTCAGATGGAAACTAACAATCTGAACTACATACGAGTACATCAACGAGAACTCTTTGCCGAAGCGTATCAAGGGCTTGTGGACCATGTGAACGAACGCCTCATCATTGATCCTATGGCGGTCGGCCGTAGGGTCATTTTGCCGTCGGGGCAAAATGTTCGTTCGTGGGCAGCGACCGATACAACAAGATGTGTTATCAAGACGCCATGACCATGGTCCGTAGCAAACGAAAGCCCGACCTGTTCATAACGTTTACGTGCAATCCAAGGTGGCCGGAGATCACGGAAACCTAGCGTCTCACAGCCTCTCAAATGACAGGCCCGAACTGGTGGCCAGGGTGTTCAACATGAAACTACATGAGCTACTAGGTGGTGACCTAACTGTTACTCGTATGTTTGGTAATGTAGCCGCTTACGTATATACTATAGAGTTTCAGACTGCCCCATGTGCACATACTCGTAATCCTGGAGGAGGATTATAAGTTCCGCACGGCGGCGACGACGTGGTTTGCGCCTTCTTGGCGGACCCGGACACCGACAGGCGCTTACACGACTGCGTGCAGTCCCACATGATACACGGACCATGTGAAACAGTCAACCCGGGGTGTCCGTGTATAGTGTATACAATCACCAATACATCATATTAAACATTATATTATATTTTTATATAACCTTTAATTTTATTTTGGAACTCTAAACATTATAATTGTTTTTATTTCATTGAATGACTCTCAATTTGTTTTCGAGTATAAATATGGACGTTCTAGTGACATTGGCCACCCAGAAAAAATAATACAATTGCTTTGGTTTTAACATTGGCCAAAAACTAAAATTTTTAAATAAAAACTTTTATGAAAACATTTCTACATTTTTAAAATAATATTCTATTGGGCATAATGTTAGTAACTTCTACATTTGTATACTTTATCTAATTTGGTCATACAGCGTAAGAGACATTGGCCCTTTTAACACAAGTGAAATAAGCAAATTTTAATGACATTGAGCCATCTTGCACCAAGCCACAGAATTATTTTATGTGTTTTTCATTAAACATTCTATTGCATACAGTACTACACATCAATTAAATAAATATATAAATATACGTCATATATAATTGTTGATGTACACAGATATACAGAAGCTAAGGTAAATGAAATAAGATCGGATACATGTAATAATATAATAATATGTATAATTGATACGAATAACTATAAAGCTCCGAGGCGTAATATAAAACAACGACTAATCGTCCTACAGGCTACTACATAGAACGAAAATGCTATAGAAATATAAAATGCCTATTCAGCGTCTCCTGTACAACAGTGTGAATAATTTTGCTTAAAATCTACATAATACGGGGTGTTTTGTTTACATTCAACACTTCCCCTTAAACAATATATCCTATTTTAGAATTAATATATCTAATCCCCAACATCTCCCTGAGTTCTTGGAATCTTGGTCGTTTAGTTGGCTTGGTCAATATGTCAGCTAACTGATCCTTGCTTGGCACATACTCCAGAGAAAACATCCCTTCACTGAACTTCTCACGAATGTAGTGATAGCGAACATCGATGTGTTTTGTTCGCTTATGGTATTCTGGATTTTTCACTAGTTTGATGGCGCTTTGGTTGTCTGCATACAGAGTCGGTGTGTCTCCCTGTGTCTCCAGAATATCACTGATAAGTAGCGTCAACCAAGTAAGTTCCTGTATCGATTGGTCTCTGATCAATTTCAATACCCAAGAAATGATCAAGTTCACCTTCCTTCGTCTCGAAGTTGTCCTTTAGGTAGTTCACCATTGTATCCACCAGCTCATTGTTTGTTGCTGCGATTCCATCGTCTATTCCATCGTCTACAAAAATAGCGACAATTAGTAATTGATTATTTTTATTGCTTACGAATACACAAGGGTCTGCTTTTGTTTCCTTTAGGTCAAAGTTCCTCACCATATTTTTGAACTTTTTGTTCCAGCACCTGGGTGCCTGATTCAACCCATATAGGCTCCGTTGAAGTTTGCATACTAATTGTATTCCATCTTCGTAACCTTTTGGCTGTTTGATATAAATGTCTTCTTCAAGATATCCATATCAGAACGCCGTTTTAATGTCAAATCGTCTGAGCATTAATTTTCTGGCTGTTGCTATCGCAAGTATTACTCGAATGGAATCATATTTCACTACTGGACTGAACGTTTCTTGAAAATCTATTCCATTAACTTGCGCACATCCCTTTATTACTAATCTAACTTCAAATCGATCTATTTCTCCATTTGTTTTGTACTTGGTTTTATATATCCATGCATTATTTATTGGATTTTTATCTCTTGGTAAATCTACTAATTTCCAGGTTTCATTTTTCTGCAATGATAAAATTTCGTCGTCCATCGCTGCCTTCCAATCGTCTGCATTTTTACATGTCATAGCTTCTTTATATGTTACTGGGTCTTTACATGACGAGAAAAATGAATCTCTATACCTCGTAGGTTTATTGATTTTTGCTATGTCCTTGAGTATCATCTGTTGTTGATCATCTACTTCAACTGGCATCTGTATATCATCGTCCAGTTTTTCTTCGTCGTCGCTGTTGACTTCCTCATCTTCAGCTTCACCTTCCGAATTTACTTCTTCATTCATAATTTTTACTTCTGAAGTGGTTGACGGATTTGTGGACTCTTTGAATATTATATCTCTGCTCAGTGAAACTTTTCTTTCACCAAAGTATGAAGTGAGAATACTTTTTAATGCCATGTTTAAAATGTTAATTCTATGAATTATATAAATTGTAGACGTTGTATGAATCGATGGCTGGTGTGTCGTGCGCATCGGCGCTAGCTCAACTGGAGGGCCTCCTGCTGTCACCAATTTGCAAGTTGTCAATCGGAGAATTTTATTTAATGCCATTATCTTAACAATATTGTTTTCCCTTTAATATTTTGCAGATGAGATGAATAAAAACTTTTATTTTCACATGTCTTGTTTTTATTTCCTACCTTAATATAATAATCATGGTTAACACATTAGTTAATATTAGAGTATACTAATATTAGTAGCCTATGTGTTAGGTTGAACATTTTGAGGGGTCTGATGTAAGCCGGTATTTTAAAATATGTTTATTTGTGTAATTATGTATTTAAATATTTTTTTGCCATTGTTAGATGCGCACAACAGCAATAGGCAGTGTAATAATATAGATAAATACCAACCAATATTGATGTATCATAATATAATACGGTGACGATACAAATAAAGGTCTATTCACACACAGCAGTGACGTGACAGTGCCGTGTTCGTTCCGGGATTCCCCCGGCGAGTTTAATAATATTCTTAAAGGAAAGATAAGCATGACGTTCTCACACGTCCGGCGCGTGACCGTACCGACGCAAACAGTGTTGTCGCCGTCATCGCACTGTGCGGGTCCGATTACTTACGTCCGATATTTTTCATATTTCACGGTCATCATTTTCATCGCAGTACAAAAATGAATGACGAAAAACTGATCGAGTTAGTGCGGAAATATTCCGTATTATACGATTTATCACATCCCAAGTATATGAACACGGACTTCAAAAATATCATATGGGCTAAAATAGCAGAGGAAATGGAAACAACTGGTAAGAAATACAATAATAATTATTTCTAATTATTTTATTATTTTATTATTAATTTTAATAATCCCAGTAGTACCTTTTTACATAATTTTTCATACTAACATTATCTTATATAATATATTATAAGTATTTCATATCCAAGGAAGAGAACCAGCTTCGGAATTAAAGTATTCAGTGAATATTTCCCTTGTACGAAATGCATCTGTAGTTGCGTTTCCTCCTTGCAAATGTAAATTTTGTAGTGTATGTCCCTTGCTTGTGAAATCCACTTGCTGATTTACGTAGTTATACGTACACGAATCATATTTTTTTATAAAATTATGTAGTAAGCAAGAAGCCAAAATTATGTAATCTGCGTTTTTTGGACACGCCTGAATCCGCCTATTGTAAAGTCTAAACTTTTGTGTCAAAATACCGAATGTGTTTTCTGATGTCCTCCTGGCACGGCTCAAACGGTAATTGAAGTTACGTTTTCGATCATCCAAGTTATCTCCTGGATAAGGTCTCATTGAGTAGTTCTTCAGAGGAAATGCCTCGTCAGCAACAATAACATATGACACTTGAATCTCTGTGTTAGGTATGGTAGAATTTTCTGGAACATTTAATGAACCACGTTGAAGTGCTTTGCCTAAACTTGAATTAGCAAAAACTCCCCCATCACTACTCTTGCCATATGCTCCTACATGGACAGCAATAAAGTTACAGTGAGCGTCTACAAGAGCCAACAAAACAATAGAGAACGTCTTTTTGTAATTAAAGAACATCGTTCCGCTATTCGGAGGGGCCTGGATAGTAACGTGTTTCCCATCCATAGCTCCTATACAGTTGGGAAAATTCCACATACGAAAAAAATCATTAGCGATGTTCTTCCACATTTCTTCTGTCGGAGTAGGCATCAATTCTTTCATAAGATTTTCAGAAATTATTTTACAGGTTTCTCGTACGATCTGGTAAACAGTACTATGCCCCATGCGATAGCTAAATGAAAGTGTCTTAAGCGAATCACCAGTAGCCAAATACCTGAAAGAAATTAAATTAAAATAATAAAACTTATTTATTCGTTGTAAATAGTACGTTTTGGTCTAACTGCTATTTTTCACAAAGTGATTTCATATGTCACTCAATTTCGAAAAAAAAGCCAATAGCACGTTTTGGATTGTCACCCCTCAGTTAATATATAAAATAATTTAATTCAGATGAGACGATAAAAAATAAATGTTTATAAATACATTAAAGTATAGTATATTTGTTTGTATACCTAGCTTTGCCTACGTCTACAGTTTAATCATACAATTCAGTAAAAAATCCAAGTTTTGTTTTTTTAAATAAAAGTCTCTGATTCTTTCTATTGATTGTCAACCTGACTAATGTCTAATTATTCTTAATTTTTAGGAAATAAATAATATCGCATGGAAAATGTATTAAGTAATACATTTTCCATATTTTAATCAAAAAAAAACAATAAATAGAAAAAATTGATAATTAAGTTGTAAACATAACATTTAACGTAGCAAATTAATAATATCAATTATTTTAATAATTTTTGAATTACCGCAAGACCTACTTACTTTTTTGTGATTGCAAGTATTTAACACATGTTTTTTGTCTCTGTTACAGGACCTTCTTGTAAAACAAGGTGGGAGAATATTAGGGACAATTTTAGAAAATCTCTGAAGAAAAATAAAACTGTAAGTGGTCAAAGAGCGAAAAATCCTAAGCAGTATAAATATTCGCAGCAGTTAACCTTTTTAACAAAGTTCTTCGAGGAGAGGGATACCATGACTAACATAGATTTCGAAGTACCAACCCAAGATAATGCAGGTAATGATGTCGTTGATGAACCAGGAGAATATGAAAATGGAGAAAACTCCCTAGACTGTACAAAAGACGTTGTTAATCCTGAGATTGTAGAATCCCAAAGTCGTACTTCGTCCAATTGAAAACAAGCTGAGTGTTTTACATTGCCTACACCACGAAAGAAAACAAAAGAGTCGGTACCAGACACTCCTCGCTCGAAAACTGCCCCTGCTACTGTTATGGAGTACCTCGTCAAAAAAAATGAAAACATACAACCATTGGCCCCACAGCATCCAGTTGACGCTTTCCTATCAGGAATAGCTCCAGTCTTAATAAACTTACCCCCACGCTACTGGCATTACGCCAAGTCTGATATATTTGCTACGGTTCAAAATTAGGAGTTCAAAATGATTATGGAGCAAGATCAATCTACGGAGCCACCTCCAAACAAAACGTATTCTACCCGAGCATACTATGAACAACCTACCACTGCAGCCTATTATCCACTTAACCTTGCATCTATTCAGCAAGTTCTTTCACCAATTCTCCAGGTGATCAAAGCCAAGACTCTAGTTTTGGTGCATTCCAACAGTATGATTAGTAACTGTATGATTTAAAAGTATTTAAAAAAAAATAAATACTTAAATATGTTATTATAAAGATGATGTACTTAATATAAATTGTAAATCTTGTATCTAATTCTTATTTTATGTCTTAACCAGGTGCGTAATTTTTTTTCGTGATGCACCCTATATATATATATTATTATTTTTTAAAACCACGATGTTAAAATTGGTCCGCTTTTAAATATAGTAATGACGTCCCTGGTCTTAACTTATACATCAGATTATACAACTAACTCAAACAAACAGCAAGCCGTTCTCTTGGTGTGATAGCTTTCCTCCAATGTGTGTCTTGCTTTTTCAGATGCACTTCCAACTTGCTCAACAGTAAGTTGAACGAATATTCAGATAACCTAAAATATTCAAAAACTTTGTTCCATCATCCATCAACTCCTTATAGAGAGTGGAAAATTCTCCTTCAGTTGGTT